GTTTTGTGTGCGCTTTTCCTTAGTATTGACTCATGAGCCCTATGGGGCCACTATATGTACTCTTGTTATCTCATGGATTGGAAGCTAGTTCCAGGGTCATAATAAAAGAAAAGGAAGACCCATATGATCTGAGCAGTGATGCAAGGTATATGCTAGATCTGAAAGAAACATTATTGGGATATATTCTATTTAGTATTTTCTTCAATGATGTTAAGGAGGGCATTCTCTTGAGGAAATGAATGGCTTTTGCAGATGACACTGCAAAGAACACTAAAGCACAAATTAGAAAAACATATATAAGCCTCAAGTAATTTCACTTTAAGGCTGATAACAGAATAAGATTCATCTTAGAAAAATGCAGACTAATAGTAACAATACATTTGGGAAAAAATAATCTACAATGCAGACACTCAGCCAGTGAGTAGGCGAGCTTTGGCCAGAATACCAAGCCAGCTATGGGGTGAGAAAAGTCTGTGTTTGCAATGTAATACTGTAGAAAATCGGTGGAGCAGTCTGAGAGCTGAATCTGAGGGCAACTCAGGTTTCCAGAGTGACAGCGGGAGGCTTAGACATCAAGTACAAATCATCCAGTATTCTCCCAGAATGAGTTTGTTGACATTGCTATGACTTGATATTTGTAAATATCAACACCAGATAGATAAACTCATGTATCTTACAGTGTCAAGGAAATGCCACAGTTAGTATTGAAGAAGAACAGAAAGATATGGTATTTTCTCTAGCAGGGCGTTTTAATGTCTGACCAAACATTTCAGTGTGGAATGATGACAGCACACTGGCTGTTGGCTTTCTTTCTTCTAGTGTTCTCAGGGGACAAAGATGAAACCAGGAAACAAAGGAAGGAAGATGTCTAAAGATGGTTTACAAGTTGACTGTAATTGATAAGTAGTTTATAAAATTGGCCAGCCCTATAAAACTAGATCTTTCTTGGGAATTTGCAACTATCTTTGAATATGTCTAGAGTATCCATATACTGATTTTCAAAACACATCCATCTATGATCGAATCATTAGTAAATGTATCAGGCTATTCATGAAGTATTGTCATTATTAAAATGTGTTTAATAAAATAAGATTTCAACTATGTTTGTTAGTTTAATTAAACAAGTTGATTATAATTGTCAATATTCCTGTCTAGGAGTATTTATTGGCTGGAAGAAAAGTCATGTACCTCACAGCCAAAGTAAAGCCTTGGACCCACATATAAGGAAAAGCCTGGACCCTGGGCAAAAGCAACTTTGAAAATTCCTTAGTTTAGAATTTATCTTAACATAGACTTAGAAATGAAAGGATTTCATCAGGTACTCTGTGAAATTAAGAACACATAATACATGCCTTTTTAAGGCTAATGCAATTTTGAAAACTTTAGTATTTTTGTTACTGCTGTTAGACAAAAGTCTTGGTTAGAAAACAGTTCTACTTTATTGAATCCTGGGTAAACTGGTGTTTAAATAACAAAACTAAATTAGGTAGTAGGCTTTCTCTTAAATAATTATAGCCCTTTCTTCTTAATATGGTAAGCACAGTGTTAAAAGGTATTTTTTTTTTAACATGGGGAAGGAAATCCCCAGGTACTGGTAATTCCTATTAAAATTTAATTGGAAATCAACAGAGGAAATTTTGTTGTAAACTATAAAGATAAAAAGTAGACAGTAAGATTAGCTTGTTTTGATAAATTAGTTTCCTTGTGGAAGTTTTTAGTGTACAGTTCTTTATTGAAAGCCGCTGTTAGAATTAGAGAGTGTCCAGGCTCTGGGTCAGGCAGTAGAGATACAAAGTGATTTGAAATGAGCACCGTTCATATCCATCACAGCACAGTGAGCACAGTTAAAGACGTCTGGACCAGGCATGGAGCAAGGCACAATGAGAGAACCAGGGAAGAAGTCCTTCATAGAAAGAGGTGGAGTCAGGTGATGTTAAATTGGAAGAGGGATACACAAACAGAGAAAAACTGAATTTCGCTCCATTAAGAATAGCTAGCTGTATCTAGAGCAAAGGTCATTATGGTATGTGTTACTGGATCAAATATTCTGTATGACCACATAACGGAGATAATGCAATATCTGACAATGATAATTTCCCAGGATATACACAAAGTTCACAGTAATTAGAAAATGGATAGGGAAGATTAATTTTACCCCATTTGTATAGTAGATGCATGCCCTTTAATCATAAGCCTGGAATATACGATGCCTAAATCAAAATTTCCTAATATATGTCCTCTTTCTCATAAGAAACTCTTGATTCCTTAGATATTTATTCATGCCATAATCTTTAAATATGAGTAACAAGATCAGTTCTAACATTAAATGGATCTTTCTTCTGCAACCCCCATCTATCTGTCTGTCTCTGTCTCTTTCTGTCTTTCCCTTTCACAATACACTCATGCATACACACTCACAGAATTCATATTGTACCATATTAATTATAAAAACAATGGTGTGCTCAATATGGGAATTTTAATTTTTATCAAGAAAGCAAACAGGCAGAATGAAATGGTCACTGTAGAACAAATCTATAATTCTAAAATCAAGTGTAGAAATGTCTTACAGGATTATTTATTTTCTTCAGAAGTGATTTGGTCCAATGAGCTACATATATTTTTTTAAAAGACTATGTATCTAGTCATTCATACTGAAGTGTATAAGGTGACATCTTTATAGAAATATCCCTTAATTATAGGTCAGTTCTTATCTATTCTAGGTAGATCTTTCTCTGATTCCTCCAGCAAAGGATTATCAGCAAAAATAAACACTTTACCCAAGTGTTTTGGAGACTTCAATGGGACCATCTTGATATATTTATTATGTGTACTTATGAATATTCTTTTTTGAAGATTTATTTTTATAAATTTATAAATTTATAATTGTGTATATGTGTGGTGGAGAGTATGTACACTTGAGTGCAGTTGCCCATGGAGTCTGGAAGAGGACATCAGATTCTCTGAAGCTGAACTTACAGGTAGTTGTTAAGCTGTTGGATGTGGCTACTGGGAACTGCAATTCAGTCCTATGGATGAACAGAGTGTACTCTCAAGTGCTGACCCATCTCTCTGGCCCTATTAGTGTTATTCTTAATGATCACAGTTATGCTGTACAAGTAATCATGTGATAAGAATTTTGGTACTGTTAGTAGTTTTGTACCTTCATACAATAAGAGAATTACATGTACCAAACTACTTAATGGCATTTCTTTTTCTTATTGAGTTTAGCCTGAGAATTAAAGAGATCACTCTTATGTTAGTAGAGCTAATAGACTTAATAACATATTTAATAATGAAATGATAGTGCTTAGTCTTATTTACACTAGAAGCAAGAAATGTGTATAAAAATTCACTAAGTACTGGCAGAGCAAATTATGTTAGATGGGTGTAGTTTTGTGATAGCTATGAGGAACTGTATGGATATGTGTGCTGAGCATTCAATTGCAAATTTTTACTTCTAAGTATATTTGCATTCTAGAACTGTTCAATACCGCTTATTAGGTTGTGATATTGGGTAAATTGTACCCAAACTAAACTGCTTTAGATATTTGATTGAAGCAACATGGAACAATAAAGGGTTTCATGTCTAAGCATCACCCTGCATATGATCTTAAAGAACAAAGTTTTATCAAGAGTCTTGCATTTTGACAAGTAAATTGGTATGAACAAAGAAAATACAACTTTTTACATTAGTTCAGAATATCTGGACATAAATGTAAAAGTGGCATTTCATGTGTGCTTCTATATAAGAATAACTTTTAATTTCAAAAATGTTTTCTTTTATTTGAGGTAACTGGATGAATGAAATTGTACCAATAAAATTGTACTCTGTTTCTTTCAGTGATATTAAAGATAAGACTGAATTTGTAATATCTTAGGGAGAAAAAAGGAAATAGGGATTGTCCTTCTCTCATTTCTAGCCACTAGAGAATAACAGTATTTGACTATTTTGTTTAGATGTTTCAGCTTACAGTTCAGAAAGCAGCTATGAAAATGAGTAGAAATCTCAGGGAATACACAATAAAATAAAAGACTCCAGGTCTTTTGATAGCAAGAGAAGTAATTGGAGCCACAAAAGCTCATGTCAGCACCAGTGAGACTGGCATTCAGGGCAATGCAGGGTGAGGGCAGCCCGTGCCTCACCACCCTGTACAGCACCCTGTTCAGCTTGCGGCCTCTCTCTAGTTAAATTTCTGTGTCTAGTCTTCTAATGACTGAAGCAAACAACAAAATCCGTAAGCTTCAGTTTGGTGGGACTGGTTTTCTCAGTATCATGTCTTTTCCTTTCTGTGTTGTTCAGCACCGGGTCATCTTTAGGATTCCATATTCCATGGGAGGAAGGTTACCAGGCTGAAAGTTCACGGTCTTGAGCGTTCGATTGCTCATCACGTTTTTGCCCTCTAGGTGCCAACCCGGATTCACCGGAGCCAGATGTACTGAGAATGTGCCCATGAAAGTCCAAACCCAAGAAAGTATGTTCCAATAATCTGAAATCTGCTCTCTCCACCAAACCACAGCAACAATCGCAACCACTTGGTGCTTTTACAGCTCAGCCGAACTGAAAGCTTTTGTTCTAATTATGGTATCTCTGCTCAGGGCATAAACCCATCCACTGTGGTCTCAACTACTACCTGCCATTCACTTGGTCCCAAAGTTAAAATGGGAAAAGAGTGGCTAGAGGGAACCCAACTCCAAAACATTTTCTAACTATTTCTTTGACAAGATGGCTGAAACATCACATCTGTCTTGTGACTTCTTTGGAAAGAAAGCAGTCACCTAGAAATCCTGGACTCTCACTGTCATCTAAGGCTGCAAGCTTAATTGTAAGCACTGGGGAGATGCCAGAGTGTGCGAGCCATGATTAGGACAAGGATTCAGTTCCTGAGGGTGAACTCATCAAGTTCAGTCAATGACACTCACGGAGCTTCTCTAGCGTATATTCACCTCTTCTCTTTTTCTCTGTTTTTTTCTACCATTGTTTTTTTTGTTTCTTCTCTCAGGTGCCCAAATGAGTTTACTGGTGATCGTTGCCAAAACTACGTAATGGCCAGCTTCTACAGTACGTCCACTCCCTTTCTGTCTCTGCCTGAATAGGAGCATGCTCAGTCGGTGCTGCTTTCTTGTTGCTACATCTCCCCTCAGAGTCACCTAGAGCTAGAGCGTTCTACCAGGTCTAATATTGACTGCCTCTGCCTGTCGCATGAGAACATTAACAAAGCCATTGTGTTACCTTCTCTGTTTGTGACTAGTCAGCTCTGAGTTACTAATGGGTATGTGAGGCTCCAGATGTTTCTGAAATTGATAATGCATAATGTGATGCCAACTGATAAAGACATTTCAAACTCAAATTTGTATTGACAAAAATAAAATCATTGCATGGACAGAGCAGTCCCTCTTCTGTATCCAACATCCACAGCCTGAAAAGGCTGTTGTTAGGTTGTAACCAACATACCCTTGAAATGATGGTAAGTTAATTTTGGCTGAGCATGTGTTATTCATAACAAATAAACATCACCAAAAAAGTTCAGATGTTTTTCTTCATTAACAAAAGTTCACATGCAGGCATACAGACAAACAAACAAAACAATACTAGGTAGAAAAAAATGAAAAATAAGTATTTCCCAGCCAAGGAAATATGTAGGCTTATATTTCTCTTTCTTGGGATATAAGTAGTTCAGAATCAGTTTAGATAATCACCATTATCCCAGTGTTTCTTAATATGCCGTTCTTAATAATACCGTTGTCTTAAACGGTAATATTAGAAAGTAGCTATTATTATTTTGAAAACTATTATTTCAAAATATAAAAACTCAAATCTAGAATAAATATTTAAGAGCTTATTGCAGAGCTGGCAAGTTTAGTGGATATCTGTGAGTTCGTGATGTTTGAAACATCACTCCTAAACTATTCACTCTGCAATGCAAATAATTTCCCAGGTAACTGAACTAGACATCTGTCTATCTCCTGTGAACTGGGATGGCATCCCTTGGGCTCTGAAACCTTCAGAACACCACGTTTGCTTATATCACACTTAACCATTTAGATCATGAATTGGTAAGGCTTTATTACGGAGGTTCAGGTGGTTTTAAGGTTTATGGTGATGGTGTCACAACTAACACCACTTACCCCCAACCTCTGGTAGCATGAAGACAGTCCTAGACAATGAATAAACTGATGGGCCAGCCTGGTTTCACTAAATCTTTATTTACAGATGTCAGCACCAGGCTACTTTTGTCAGTCCTCTCAATTAGTAATCCCCTAAAGTATTTCCATAACTTACTACAGTTTCAGTTCTTAAAAAGATTAAATATAACCACACAAGATGGTCATGTAGATGTCCAAAGAATCAATTCTGATTCATGAGAAGAATAAATCTCTGTTACTAGTCACAGATATCAGCACTTAGGAGGCAGAGGCAGGTCTATCTCTGTGGATTAGAGGCCAGCCAGAGCTACACAGTGAGACTTTGTTACAGATGTTATCAGAATAATAACCATATATTTAGTGAGATGCTACTCTATGTTAGCAAAGGTTATGCCCTAAGCTATAATTTTCCCTTGTAAAAACTGACAAGTTGGCACTGTTAAATTTTGAAATATATTCACTGTATTAATCAATATTTAAATGATAGCACTTATCAGACATGAGTTTTTCTCTCCATAGCTATAGATTTTTTTTAAGTTGATAGGATAGAAAGTAAAACTAGAAGGGAAAAAATAGAATTTTATTTAGTGCAATAATGGCACTTTTTGAATTGTTTGTATTCAAAGAGCATATATTTAGCAAGCCTACATGGTAATATAGCTATAAATCTAGTTTTTAGAATTTAATGAAAAGGGATAAGCTATTTCTATGTAAGGTGTCAGACAGCTAGACATTGAGGGGAAGGTTGGCTCACTAGATAAAGGCAACCATTAAAAATTCAAATATTTCTCAGAACAAAAACACTATTAACTCTACCATTGGTAGCCACCAAATATGTTCTCACACACTTTTTAGCCATTTTCTCTTCTTTTTGACATTATTTAAAAATATCCACTCTGTCTGCAGTCCAGAATGAGGCTCCTTAGATAAGACTTTTAGTAGGCTTTCAGTGACACCATGAGAAGGTATGCAGGAAATTAGCATTCATGTTTAACTTGATTTAACAAGGACAGAGAGGCAGCTCAGTGATGAGGCCAGCATGTTATGGCTGCATTATTGTTACCTTGTGTCTGGAGGAGCAAGCATTTCCAATCAGAACATTTTGTTCAGAATTGTCTTGCCCAGAGTTCATTTTCTAATCTCTGCATCCGAAGTTCTCAGTTTGTATCTCTGACAGAAGATAGAAAGACAGGGGAATTAGTTTTATTACTCCATGTTTGAGTAACGTGAATGCTGAAAGAAGTCTAAAGGATAGTTCCACAGAGGTCACTTGAAAATGTAATTGTTTATAGAAACACAGTCTTAGAGAACATAGCACAACCTTTAAAGAGAAGATAGTCTCCTGCCTCAAAGATTTATAACTTAACAAATCATAACATTCCAAAGAGAATATACCATTCTTCAAGGTGTTTAACATGTAACTGATATTATTAAGATTAGATGCAGGCATCCTGACCACCACATCCTAATGATTGACCTATAAATACTGGCTTAAATTATGAAAAGATGCAGTTTATATAAATATAACTTGTTTTGAATATAGCGTAGTATTTCCTAAGAAATTCTCATGCACTTTAGTGACCTATTACACTGCCATTCCTAGTTAACAAGTTTGTAACACTGTGATCACTAGCATGTGGTGGTATGTGTGTAGGGAGCCCACATTCTATGCATAGACTTCATGGAGGAAAGGAAAAAAAAAAAAAAAAAAAAAAACATTCACAGCTCCAGTACCTAGAGGCAGCATGGGGCAACTATGTCCTGGAGGAGCTGGCAAACCATGGTAGCTAAATATGGAGCAGTTCACATTATACACTGTTTTGAAGGGAACATTTAGATCTTAAAGCCCATTCTCAAGATGAATAGACTTATCAGCCTTAAAAGTACCTTTGAATCATAGGTTATTAGCACATACATTATTTCATTGATTTCTAAATATTTTCAAGAATTTGTTAAGATAATGTACTTATCAAACATGTATAACATGTATCTTGCTAACAGTAGAATAAAAAGCACTCCACACATGACAGAATTGTCATAAATTTCAAATGAGTGGGAAATTTGCTTTGTGTGTGTGTGTGTGTGTGTGTGTGTGTGTGTGTGTGTGTGTGTGCGCGCGTGCTCACTTGTGCTCTTCTGCACGTGGAATCTGTGGAGTAAAGCAAAAGACTATTACATTTCAAAGGCTCAGTAACAATGCAGATTGTGAGAAAAAGCATCTACATTTGTACAGGTAAGTCTGAAATTAAAGTCAAGACACTAAATTCATCTCATTTAGAACTGGCATTAGTAGAACCCTTTAGAAAAACTCCAGAGATACAGAACATCAAGGCTGTATGTCTTTGAGGTGATTTGCATAAACAGTTCCAAAGATGTTAAAAATAACACTCTGAATGCCATGAAATTTGAACAAAAACCATAATTGCAATGCTTATATTATTTTGACAAAAGAAAGTTATTTTATTGTTCTTCTCTCTAATGCAGTTGAAAATTTAAATTAACCTCCAGGTTAATCAGTTTTCGTCAAGTAATTACAAAGCCCTAGCACAAAGGATTAGCCAGTCAATATTTAATAGTTTCTGGAGACTCTTAGATTTAAATTAATTTTTTATATTGCCATGGTCCTGGCAGGAAATCACATGTAGAAAAGGAAACTTAATTGTTTACAGTAACCTTTGTGTTTGTGAATTATTAATTGAATTTGAAGAATGTGGTGACTAGTCAGAAGTTCAGTAGAACCATGTGCTACAAATTGAGCTAACACCAGCATTAGATTAAATAGAGCAGATAGAGAGAATTCCTTTACATAATGGAAAGTTTGCATATTCTGCTTCTTTTGTTAAATGTAAACTGAAAGGGATGGAGCTACCAATAGTGAAAATAAATGAGAGCATCTTTGTTCTGGGTCAAGAATGACTGATGCATGCATCCTCCACTTGTTTCCTTGTTAGAGCTCACAGCCAAAAGAGATTCCCGTTTTAAGTACCAATTTCCCATTGAATTATTTAAAATTGGAGCTGCCTGATATGAATGACTTCCCTTGAAATGAAATTACAGTTAGGCTCACAGGCTTACCTATAAAACTGTAAATGCAGTAATATGTATGCATGAGCATGTTACTAATTTTATTGAAGACTTAACCAAGCTTTCTATGCAACTAATACAAATCATTAGAAGTGTTCACATAGGCATGGAATAGTTCTTTGGAAAGGATTTTTTTTCATAGATATGACTTGATTTTAACCCTTAAATTATTAGTGACTTATAGGAGGAAAAGACAAGAGACACAGAAGCTTCTAGAAAGAAAATTGGATCATAACCTCATGGAAGAAATGAGGAAGGAAGTTTATTATCAATTTCCTTAGAAACTAAATTTTTTTCCACATTGATGCTTCAAAGTTTATATGAAAAATCAAATGAGAAAAATGTCAGTCTGACAAACTGCACAGAGGCAAGAGAAATTCATTTGTATTTGAACAGACTATTTTATTATGAGTATCTTGTACAACTGAATTAACCCTAAGGCTTCTGGTTCTCAGTTTATGAAAAAAAATCAAATGACTTGTGGGAGTGCACTGAACCCAAATCAGAAGTCATTATAGATTATCCCTCCTATTTTTAAGATGTATTGTTTTTTTTGGGGGGGGGGACGAGCATCATTTCTTGAAGAAACTACAAAATCTTCATCTATTTTCTTTCTTTCTTTCTTTTTTTTTTTTTGATAGACCTAAGAACATCAGTGTTTTCCTTCATACAGTTACTCAAAGTAACCATGAATGCGCTACACTGATTGTCTCATGATATATCTCTAGATGTGTCTGTTTCCCAGAATACTGAGCCCCCTGCTATTGCAGACCATAGTTCACTCCATAGGGTCACTAATGAGCATATCAAGATTTTGTTCAGTAAGAGATAAAGCTGACCAAAGTTACTAAACGGGTTGAATGGGAAAGACCAGATCTGAGCCAGAATCAACTTTACACTCACCTCGTGTCTTTAAGTGCTGCCTTCTCCGTGCTCTGACAGATGTTTTTGTAAAAGCGACATCTCTCCAGCATATAGTGCAAGCTAAAGAACTACCTCATTGTATTAGTGGGTTGCCTCTGTATCTTATAAAACTGTTAAGAGAAGGAAATACAAACTTAGTCTATGACCCTTCCCCCTTCCCTCCCATTTACCTTCATCCTCACCACATTGTACTCGTGGAGAGAGAAGGCCTCCATGTTTGAGAAACTTGGCTGCCAACTTTAGTTGCAAGAAGGCAAAGTATCCTCCCTGGAGATTTTTTTTTTTTTTTTTTTTTTTTTGCCCCATTTTACCTGCTCAGTCTTTGAAAAGAGTTGCAGAGGGGCTGGGCATCTGCTTTCACTGTTTGGCCCCCTCCCTGGGTGGTACTGAGGTTCTCTTGGTACCTGGCCTCTCTGGAGATCAGCTGATCTAATTACCTCTAACTAATAGTTTGAAAAGGTCAGAAAGACCCCAGAAACAGGATCTACATATAACACACTTGAAAAAAATGAATCTTTTCTTTCTAGTCAACTTAAAAAGAATAAAACAAAAACATGAGGTTTTGAGTTGCTCGATATTAGACAGACAGCATATGGAAAACTGGAAACTGTCACCAGTAACCCATCTTCCCTGTCTTGTTTTTCTGGATAGAAGCTTTTGTTGCTTTCTGTGAATGAAACAGACAATGTGTATATGAAGGAGTTGGAAAGTTAAGTGACAGAGGTACAACTTAAAAAAAAAAAAAAAAAGACACTAAAGTATTACCCACCAGCAAGGAAAAGTAAATCCACTGTGATACAAATTTCAAACCAAATTACTGCCTTCTTTGCTTCTACTCCTGTCTCTGCCGCTGGATGCATTTAGTTAAAACCAAACAAAGACTTAGAACTTCATTTAAAAACAAATCAACTTATTGCAAATGTTCTTCTCTGGTTATAAAACACTTTTATTCTCAAATGATGAGTCAAGCATGGTTTAGCTGCTAACTTCCCTCCGCAGAAGCCTTTGAAGGTTACTAAACACCCTGTGCTTTCATGCCTCGCTGGTGGGTTCGGGCATTCCGGGCATGCTTCCATAACACTTGCTGCCTGTCCTGTTCAGTGTGCACGCACAGACAGCTGTCATAGTCATGTGTAATTTGTTTTGGAGTGCAGTGTATTGCTCTTTTCTGAAACTTTTTTCCTTTCTTTTTTTTTTTTTTTTTTTTTTTTTTTTTTGTTTTTGTTGTTGTCAACTTTCTGCATTGGCAGAGCATCTTGGGATTGAATTTATGGGTATGGACCAATCATCATTCCTTTTAGCCTGCAGAATGTAGAGCCTCTGAGCTGACCTCTTTTGCCCTTCCTCCTCTTGCTTTTCAGTTCCTAACTAATCTCCTTTTTCTTTAGAAGGGATCATACAGCTATAACATTGATTTCTCTGTTTCCAATCTATGATGAGTTTGTGGGAATGTTAACGGAGTGCAGCAGTTTCTAAATTTCCAAGCTTACCTTCACTTAGAGATTAAAGTGTCCCTCCTGCTGCAACTTATCATAGACCCCAACATTGTGTGACCCATTATACCATGATGTTACTTAAAAGCTGTGGTAAGTTGGAGTGGTGCATAGGCTACAGGAGAAATCAAACCAAAGGCCAGAGAAAAAAAAGAGTGCTAAGTACATCCATGTAAAATATATCTGGATGGGAGTTTTACATACAACATAAAATTCACCTATTTAACATTGTGGCATAGAATCGTCTCACATTGCAGTAGTCTTATATGCACTGATTCAGGCTTGAAGATGCTCCAGTACAACTCTAGTTAGCTTTATTTGCTTATAAGCAGGTAAATAGAAAACAGAGGATGTTATTTTAGGTGGACATTCCAGGGCCGATGGATTTAAATCAGAAACACTGAGATTAAGATTACCCAAACAAATCATCATGTAAAAAACTTCACACTATAAATAGCAAAACAAACAAAGCTCCCAAAGGTAGGTGAAATGTAGTCACATTCCACAAGAACCTTTATCCAAAAAAAAAAAAAAAAAAAAAAAAAAAAAAAAAAAAAAAGAAAAGAAAAGAAAAGAAAAAGAAAGAAAGAATGGAAGGAAGGAAGGAAGAAAGAAAGGGTAAGGAGCCAGCCTGAGAAAGAGCTGGGAACTGCTACCTAACTTGGTCTCCAAGCTCATTGTGAAAGCTGTCTGAAGGACTGGAACTGGGTCTTGGGTCAACAGCACAATGTCATGATTAGCAAAGAGTCTGCTCCCTTTGCTCTGGCTCATGGTGTAGCAAGGGGTCCCAAGGCTGTTGTCTCCTTTTGGCTGACAACATCATCTACTCAGAAACATAATTGGTGACACATGAGGTGGTAGCCAGCCCTGGCAGGTACAGAGAGAGAGCTTGTCATCCCTTCAAGAAAATAAAAATTTAAGAAGAAATCTATTCATTTTGTAGATTTTAAAAATGTCCAAATTTATATGAATGGGCTTTTTTTGGCATTAAAAAGAAAAATAAAAACCTCCTAAATGTAGGGAGCACAAAGAGCTCTAAACATCACTTGGGGGTCCTTCCTTCCTCAAAGGAAGGATCCCTCTGCCAGAAATCTCACAGTAGTACAGGAAGCCAATGGGCAAACCCTCAGAACTACAGTTTTCCCAAGTAGAATTTCCCCAGTCAGGAGCCTTCTGGTCTGACCATAGAACTGACTATTTCTGTTTCTGAACAGTGGAGTCAAGTAGTCACGCTATGTAACTGCTCCCTCAGCTGTCTTCACAGTTCACAGGGGCAGTGTGCTGTTATCCACACATCTCAAAGGCTTTGTCAAGTGTAAGGCTGGACCTGATATCCTGAAATAACACCTGACCTTAAAGGGTCATTTAAAAAGAAGAGAGCAAGAACAGCTCTGTCTTTTCTCCTGGACACATCAGTATGAAAATTTGCTTGGCATGACTCACCACAATCCACACAGCCAAACCAGAGAGACCTGGAGCATTTCTACTCATGGAGACAGGCCAGGTCTTTGGGCTGATGCTTTGTGCTAGCTCTAATTTGCTCTTGCCCCATGTATATTGTCAAGCAAAAAAAAAAAAAAAAAAAAAAAAAAAAAGAAAGAAAGAAAAAAAGAAAGTAATTAAAATAATACACGAGAAGAGCAAGAAGAGCAATAGGCTAAAGGAATGTACTGCTTTGGTTGTCAAAGATCTTTTTTCCTTTGATGCAGCAAAATCATGAAAGAAAAAAAAAGAAAGAAAGAAAGAAACCCAAGAAGTTTAGGTGAGAAATTTGTAGTCAGTAATGGTACGAACATGGGAATTAACCGTGTTTGTGTTTCGTGCCTTTGGTTGGCTCCCTTTAGCCCTTGAGCCCTTGTCCTTTCCTGAGCACTCTTGTCCCTGAGATAACTGTTTTACTGACAAGCAATAAGAATAGGCCACTGACTAGTTCACATATATGACTCATACTGTTCTTTCCTAGTCAACAACAACAGGAAGAGAACTTATTACAGGAATCCCTGAGAGTTTTGTGGGGGCAACCCACATTTCAGTCCTTCTGTATGCTTTTTTTTTTTTTTTTTTTTTTTTTTTTTTGACGTTTCAAAGGGCACTGTTAGGGAGTCAGTGAAAAGCTACTACCAAAGGCCTTTTTATTTTTTTTTCCTTTGTCCTTTTTAACCTTTCCTTCCCTCTCATCCATTTGAGGAACCAAACACAGTATCTCCCTTGTTCTTAGGCAATTGTCCTATGTCTGAGCACACACAGGCCAAGCCTCACCAGTTTAAAAAAAAAAAAAAAAGAAGAAAAAAAGTGCATTAAACCAAAAGGGGGATGCAGGGCCTGCTATTTCTCAGTGGCAATGCTAATGCTCCCTTTCTTAACTTGTGCTATGTGAAGCAGCCCTGTGAAGGAAGGGCAGTGGAATAAGATTATGCTCCTTAGACACACACACACACACTAAAAGCCATTTAGGATGCCCGGGAGGGAAGCTACAGGGTCACTGGCTCACAGACAGCACGTCATAAAAAGCAGTCCCCTGCCTTTGTCTCAGGGTAACAGATAGGAGCAATGGACACATAAGCCCTCCTATTCATGTCATTGTTAGACGTCTGCAGTGCACACACCAACACATAAACTCCATGGCACCAACTTATGTCTCCTGCATACTGTGGCACCGCAATGCACCAACTGCTTTGCTTTCTAATCATGGCTTCCATGTCATGGCTAGTCCAGGTTAGGAGTTATGCTGTATGGGACACCCCTTCCCACTCTGCACCTACCTTTTCCTCCCTGCCCCAAGCATCCCCTCTGTCTGCTTTTCGTTTCTTTGTTTATTTTTCCTCCTTTAATATCAGGCATGCTGTGCCAGGGACTCCAGATGGCTCCCTAACTTTTAACCTTGTTTTTCCTTTATACTGGACTTTCTCTCCGTGTGTCATTCTTTCAGTCTGTCTGTCCTCTTGGTTTGTTTTTCCTCTCCACCTCCAACCCTTTCTGTTTGTTTTCATATATTCTTTTCAGTGTTCTAGTCTTTTACCCACTGACTTCTGTTCTCTTAATAATCAGTGCTCTATTAATTTGATTTGACAATGTTCTTGACCTGTTAACTGACTTGATTACCATGGACTTGGCTTGTAGGAAACGCTCCCTTTTATGATAAGATCCACTATTTGATATAAATTAAAATTCACTTACTCATTTTAAAGAAAATTTCCTGTGACCTGCCCATTTTCAATGCAGAGAAAGGTATAGCTTCTGAGGCTAAAAACATATGATGGAAATAATCTTTGTGTGTTTCTTGTTGATATCCAGATAAGGTCATTCTGTTTGTTCAGTGTTCTCCAGAGTGCCCGGGTTATTAATTTTAATGGCAGACAAACCATTTATAATGTGTGCTGGGTGAACATGTCAAGATCTTCCAATAAATTAATTAGATGTTTGGAAGTTTGACTGCTAAGCAATCAGCATGCCCAGTAAGTCTGCAAATTTTTTTTAACAACCTGACTCGCCTTTGTATAAAACAAAGCCATCGTCCAAAGATGTTTATTTTCAATTAGAAAAGTTTCCACAAATTACAGACTTACTGTGTCAGAGTAGAATGGTACCTTCAGTTCAGATCTCTTTAGAGTATCACACTTCCTTAGAATGGTCTAGTTGTCTGATATGGGAATGTGCAATCTAGACCAAAGTATACATCATCATTTGTGCTAATGATGGGCTTCTTAATACAAATTGGTTCTCTAACTTCAACTAAAAGAGCCATAACCATTGTCCTCCAAAGAGCAAACCTTTCCTGTGGTTCAAGAGTGCCCTACCTATCAGGTTGGGTTTTCTCTGGCCCAGCATCCTGTTCCCCCATGTTTCTTCTGTTTCATTTACTCAAAATTGTGAGGCTGTTGCCTTAAATTACTAACTACAAGCCAAGTTCATGTTTGCAAATAGCTTTGAATTAAATTTTATTCAATGTAGAAATATCTCTTTGTAAAGACCACTGGATATGAAGTGATGACATTAAACATAAGGGAAGTGGAAAGAGGATTGTCATGGAGGGTGGTGAATAGAGGAAGGAAGAATGGGGCTTCTCCTGAATGCCCATCTTAGCTCTTTTTATCAGTATTGATTCCTGTTGTCTTTGCAAGAGATGGTTTTATAAGACATTTCATGAAAAGAGTAATGTTGACATAGTTTTAATAAATTCTTTTGTAATGAATGTCTATGATTTTTCAGTTTAATACCATGTGTATAATTATAGCTTGAAATTAGACAAATTATAATGCTTTTCTTTTACTTTCAATGGCCCTAGCTAGCTTGTTATTTATGCTCAAAGTACAGCATAGAATATGTTGTCCCTTAGACTTGTATGCAAATGTGAAGAATTGTCAAGTATTCATTGTCTTGTGGACTTGGGTAATGTCATGAAGCATGCCAACTGTTCTGTTGTTGTAAGTCCTGGTGATGGTAAATGACCTTGGTGACATCTGCTCTCACCCCCTTTCCAGAAGCGGAGGAACTCTACCAGAAGAGAGTGTTGACAATTACTGGCATCTGTATCGCCCTGCTGGTGGTCGGCATCATGTGTGTGGTGGCCTACTGCAAAACCAAGTAAACCTTCCCCTCCACTCTGTCTGCTCCCCTTGGTGTAGAAGTAGGTTGGGCAGGCAGGGCTCTGCAGTGCCAGGCCCTAGGCCCAAGGCTTGGGAAGAAAGGAACATAGGTACTTGCATCCTTAAGTTCCACACTGAGAAATATATTTTGTTGACCTTTGCCTGTTTGTGAATTTAATCAGAATTCTCAGTGATCAGGGCTCTATGAATGGATAAAGGCTTGGAGAGACAGGCTTGTATAGGATTAGTGTTCCAGACAGGCACAACCTACTAAGAACAAAAATGCCAAGGATTAAGCATAAGTCCAATGGGCCCAGAACTTAAAAAATAACAGAAGAATTTTATGGTATTCAAGATATAGTTGTTTGGGGGCTTTTGTTTTGGTTTCTTTGGGAGGGGGTGTTAAGAGTTAAAATGAGTGTGTTCTTATTCTATCAGGTTTCTGACATAAATGCTCTATAAATGGGCAGTGCATATAGAAAATTTTTGTGGAAGGATAAGCAAGCCAAATTTTCTTGGGAAAAAAAGTTCAAGAAACCTATAGGTATCCATGCTAGCACACATGTTGGCCTACTAATGAGTTCCCTTCATATTTCTCTCCACTTAGGATTTCTTCAAGTCTAAGTGTAATGCTCCATTAATAGAGTTTTGTTTGCTTTTGCCTGATGACATACTATTTCCTGGACAAAACTAGTCATAGGAATGTCTTGTTCTGAATGTTGTGCTAGAGAACAGAGGTCACATGCATTTTTACCATAAAATCTGTAGCATGAGTTAAGTTTTTAGTGTCCTATGATTTAGCATGCTTCAGGACTGAGTGATAAAGATAAGCTCTCATGTAATTGGTATAAGTCTTATTATATTCAAATTTGAATATTGCCACCCCTTCTACAAAATGCATTGCAAGTGTAGAGTCTTGTTAAAATTGTGCCAAAAGATAATGCCAAAATATACCCAGAATTCCATTTACATGTAGGTAATATGTGCACACAGTAACTGTATAAAATGTAGAAATGAAAAGCTAAGTTAATTTTCTTACAAAGTCCCATAGGAAAATTTATAAATGGAACCAGCCATATCAATTCCATTACTCAAAGTATGTATGTCTATATGACATAACCAAAGATATACTAAGCACATTGAGAATTTAGACAAATATCAACATATTTTTTTCCTCCTTTTTAAAACTCTTCCTCAGTACAATAGCTACAGTTCTATAAGAATTCCACCTACCTATTAAAACCTGCTTTCTGAGGAGGATGTGTGATATTGCTTATTCTGAGATGGAGAGACACATTTCCTTTCCCTCTTCATCACCACCAATTGACTGCCTCTAAGTACTCATTAGTATTGGTAGAATAAAGATTCAGCTGTAACAAAAATATGCAAGTAATAGTAACAAACATACTCCCTTTTTTCATATCCAGGAAACAGCGGCAAAAGCTTCATGATCGGCTTCGGCAGAGCCTTAGATCGGAACGGAACAACATGGTGAACATAGCCAACGGACCTCACCATCCAAACCCGCCACCAGAGAACGTGCAGCTGGTGAATGTATGTTGACTGACCACTGGTTAAACCAAGCATTTTGTGCCATTCACACACTGAAAATGACTTTTCTATCCTTAGGCTGTTAGCAGCCACCACTTATCACAATGGCTTCCAGAAACCCACAGTTTTGCCAGGAGAAAATAACAAAAGCTATTTGAAAATAGATTTGGTTTTATATTAATACATTTTTCCTTACATTGTGTCACTAAGACTTTTGGATGATGCTTGGTGTGTTCTGCAAGGAGGCCGAAGCAAGAAACAGAATAAACAGCTCGGATCATAAGGAATATTAATTTTAAGTTACTTAAAACTGAACATTACTCTAGTATGCCACTGATTTGTAGCAAACCAAGCAAAGAACTTTGAAGAATTTTTATTAGGGGTCCTTCAGGGTACATGTGAATTTCTGATTCTGATTTCCAAAGGAAGAAATTGGTACATGAAAAGGTGGGAATTTTCTTGAACATGCTTTAAGGAACAAACCTAGGGAGTATAATACTTGCTTATTCCCAGACTCCATTTATGTGACAATGCACCCTCTAGGTAAAATGTATCATTAACCAGTCAGGTATTTTATTTTTATTGTGCTATGCACTTAGTTCTAAATTTGACTAGCCCATAGACTGCTCCTTGAGACCATTTGCATATCATCATTGAGATCTCTCGTATTAAGAGATTGGGACAAGAGCTCTTGCCAGACCTCCTGGATTTGGAAGTATTGTTAGTCATGTTCCAGCACAACTCCCTTTCTTCCCTTGGAATGTGCTATAGTCCCCATTCTTCCCTTGGAATATGTAGTCGTGGAAGGGATTCACAGGCTGGTTCTTTCTGTTTATAGAAACATTTTTTTGTGACTTCTGTTATCAGTTGGAAATGAAAGAAATGAAGTTGAGAACTATCTTGTGCAAACATTATTTACTCCTTGTACCTAGCCTCAAAGCCAGAGTGGCCAGAAAAAGAGATTTGCCCTCTGGCCAGCTGAAACAGAGAGGCTATTGCAAACTAATAGGTAGGAGAACCAATTTGTACCTGGATTGGTGTATTTGTGTTTTGACTGACATGAACTTTCAAGTTGTGTCTCTTTGTTTTTCTAGCAATACGTATCTAAAAATGTCATCTCCAGTGAGCATATTGTTGAGAGAGAAGTGGAAACCTCCTTTTCCACCAGTCACTACACTTCCACAGCTCATCACTCCACGACCGTCACCCAGACTCCTAGTCACAGGTATGGGGGGGTGGTCTCAGATGGAAATATATTTTCTTAAGAATGACTTCCTTTGCTCATTATCATTTATTGTCAATTCCTAACAAAAGGCAAAGGAGATAGTTAAAAGCAGTAAGATGCACTAACTTTGAACATTAGTAGATTTTGGGGTACAAACTGCTTTTACCGTGTAAGCCTAAGCCCAATGCTTCCATTAAAATACTAAAAATGGTGAGTAATTATAACTAACCCTATAGGCTTGCTGCTCCACAGTCTAGAGATTGCCATGGTTTGTGCTCTGCTACTCACTACAGGGGAAAATCTGTCTAGATTCTGTGTGATACTAGAAGTTTGTTTCTGAAGCTTAGACTGCCCTGGAAGTGTCCCCTGGAAATGCCTACAGAGCTGAACACTAGGTTCTCTGATGCTCTGGTGGTCCCATGCTGGCTGCACTCACTCTACCAAGTACAGCACCAGGCTTCCAGATGATATGCACACAGCAATGCCTTTGTTTATCCCAAGCCACTCAAGTGCTGTGAAACTTCAATAATACTTTAGCAATAATTATAATGCTAAATATTTATGGAGTAAATAAACAAATGGATAAATGATGTATTCACAAATCCAATCTGAATCAAAATTCTCCTTACAGCAAAGAGATCTCTGTATCAATTCCGGGCTCCTGATGAATCAATGACTTCAAAATTTGCCAGAATTGCTTTTGTTCTTTGCCCCCCCCCTTTTTTGCATATAACTAAGCTAGTCTGTTTCACTACCCCTTATGTTTCCCCTCTACGCAGCTGGAGTAACGGGCACACAGAAAGCATCGTTTCAGAAAGCCACTCTGTAATCATGATGTCATCAGTAGAAAACAGTAGGCACAGCAGCCCAGCTGGGGGCCCACGAGGACGTCTTCATGGCCTGGGTGGCCCTCGCGAATGTAACAGCTTCCTCAGGCATGCCAGAGAAACCCCCGACTCGTACCGAGACTCTCCTCATAGCGAAAGGTAAAACCGAAAGGCAAAGCGGTCCTGGAGGAGAACTCACTCAGTGAGAGAATCCCATGAGCACCTGCGGTCTCACCTAAAGAAATTCACCCTTATATAAGCGATGTCATCAGTTCCCCGATGCTCCTAGTTGATGAAGTCATCCTCTTATTTGGCTGAACTCCTTTCTCCTGAGCTTCTCCCATCGTCCCAATGGCTGAAAGGCAACAAACTCTTAAAGAGCAGGAGTAATGGGATGAGGAAGGTACAGCCAACATGGAGTTCTCAGACCTGACCATAGGTTCAGACACACTCAGGGTCTTTCTTTTTAAGGACCCTCATCTAATTCCAGTAATCCAATTGTCCATGCTCTACCTCCATGGCTGATCTGACCTTATGTTCTCATGCACTAATTGCCCTACTTCTAGCCTCAGTTTGCAAGGGCTATGCCATTGCTGATGGTCATGGGGGAACATCACCTGTGTTCCACCATATTGTATCTTGTTTATGAAATCCCAAGAAATGATGGGTAAAGGTCTCGTGTGATGATCCTGGCAGCATTTATAGGTGATTTTCAAAGCAGATATTGCCTCCGAGATTACCCTTTATTCTAGAATGTTTGCATTTCCTTTTGGGGGAGATCCAGTTTGGATCAGAGAAGCAACAGCAAAGGCAAAGTAAAGAATGGAAAAACGTAAACTAGAAGAGGTACTTAATAGGGATATTGAACTTAGATGTTCTTATCCATTTTCACCTATACTAGAGGAAAGTCATGACTAGCTGACGTTTTAGCCCATCTGCAGTTACCTGTTGATTTTTCTAGGCTTATTATTGTTATCTCGGTCTATTCTTTTTACATTGACTAAAAGGGTCAATATACTGCCAAATCCATATATGTATTTTACAGTTACATGGGTGGAGTTGATTTCAAAGAACTTTTCACTTATGAATATGAAAGCACCGTGAAAAACCCAGTAGGGGCTTTCAGGTGAAGGAGTCTATTGATTACTAAAGCAGTTTCAGAAAGGATAGAACTTATAGAGTTGGTATTCTCTTTAAGAACATCTGTAGAAGAGTGTGGTCTAAAACTGGCTTAAGAATATTAGTCTTGTGTGATTATATTTTTGCATATTGAAGCCTGTCCATTCCTGAATTATACATGGGGATAGGGTGCAGTTTCTCTTTATTACCATGGCTTGTCTTTGGAGGTTCTGTCTGCTAAAGTAGGCATCCAGACATCACCCAGATACTACTAAAAATTACCGAACAGTCTTGAACTGAAAGACCATGGGATAAAAAAAGATGAATCACTTGTATGTGTTGGCTGAGCTGTGACTACCATTTCTCAGAGGGTCTAATTTAAGTATCCTCAAAAAACAAAAATGTCTAAATGTCTGAAGACTTAGGTCCCAAATGTTTCAAATTCTGAGACACTTATTCCACTTTTAAACATAGCTGGGTCTCACTTCTATATCACTATGAATCATAGAAAAGTGGAAGCATTAATAGTCTTCCTTTTTCATTAGCTGGAGTTCAGAGAGCTCCAGTATCCTGTGTCATCCCAGGTCATATCAAATTTGACTGTGATGCTGTGCACTGCTAGCATTTTTATCAAAAGCTAAAGAAAATGACTCAGACTCAACTCAGAGGATAGGTCTTCCTGTTCTAGGGAAGTCACAGTGCTGCAAACAGGAACACAGTGTCTGGACTGTAACGGTGACATTCACAAACATGGCATAAGATCCCATGATACACCCAACCCAGGTGCTTGTCAGGCACTTGGGAGGATCTTTGACACATATTCCCAGAAGGAAATAAAAGACTGATGCAATGGTGGGATTTGGAAGAGAAGTAGATGGGAGATTGGAGTTAGTGTCCACTGTGGTGACATGAAACCAAAATTATGGTTCCTATCAGACTTGGCTTTGAATGTATTGCACCCTGAAATGGACAGTTGCAAATCTGAATGTTAACTAGTAGCATTTTATGAAAATTTCAACTGAATGGCACACAAATGTACTACACTGTTATCAGGAATAAATCTTTAAGTTACTATGCTCTTTTTTTTTCATAAGACATAACCTTATAGCTGAGCTAAGGAGAAACAAGGCTTACAGATCCAAATGCATGCAGATCCAGCTGTCAGCAACTCATCTTAGATCCTCTTCCATTCCCCATTTGGGCTTCATTCTCTAAGACCCCTTGGCCTTTAGGAAGGTATAGTATTTAAGAATACTTCTTTCCCTTCTAAGTCCCCAAGTCTCAGTCTTTGTAAGCTGATAGGTTTTTAGGAGCCCCCTTTTCTTGGCTCAGATACTTATATTTGAATTCATGATGAGACTAAACTCTCAAAAGCTTGAATGACCTAGATGATTTGGCTGATCTTTGCATGATTCCCATAAGGAAACTCTTGGCTTTATAATGAAAGGATCCAAGGGTGCTGAACTTCTAGTGTAAAACTTAAGTATTCGATGATGACTCTTCTCTGACTATATCCCGTGATGAACTCTGACCCCTGCCCCTCCCTGCTCCATGCCTCTTATTCCACTACACTCATGTGGGGTATTCTGTGCTCACACAGGTATGTATCAGCCATGACCACCCCGGCTCGTATGTCACCTGTAGATTTCCACACGCCAAGCTCCCCTAAATCGCCCCCTTCGGAAATGTCTCCACCCATATCCAGCATGACGGTGTCCATGCCCTCCATGGCAGTCAGCCCCTTTGTGGAAGAAGAGAGGCCCCTGCTTCTTGTGACGCCACCAAGGCTCCGGGAGAAGAAGTATGATCATCACCCCCAGCAACTCAACTCATTTCATCACAACCCTGCGCATCAGAGTACCAGCCTCCCCCCTAGCCCATTGAGGATAGTGGAGGATGAGGAGTATGAGACGACCCAGGAGTATGAGCCAGTTCAAGAGCCTGTTAAGAAACTCTCCAACAGCCGACGGGCCAAAAGAACCAAACCCAATGGCCACATTGCCAACAGGTTGGAAATGGACAGCAACACAAGTTCTATGAGCAGTAACTCAGAAAGTGAAACAGAAGATGAAAGAGTAGGTGAAGATACACCATTCCTGGGCATACAGAACCCCCTGGCAGCCAGTCTTGAGGTGGCCCCTGCCTTCCGTCTGGCTGATAGCAGGACTAACCCAGCAGGCCGCTTCTCCACACAGGAAGAATTACAGGCCAGGCTGTCTAGTGTAATTGCTAACCAAGACCCTATCGCTGTATAAAACTTAAATAAACACATAGATTCACCTGTAAAACTTTATTTTATATAATAAAGTATTTCACCTTAAATTAAACAATTTATTTTATTTTAGCAGTTCTGCAAATAGAAAACAGGAAAAAAACTTTTATAAATTAAATATATGTATGTAAAAATGTGTTATGTGCCATATGTAGCAATTTTTTACAGTATTTCAAAAACAAGAAAGATATCAATGGTGCCTTTATGTTATGTTATGTTGAGAGCAAGTTTTCTACAGTTACAGTGATGGCTTTTTTCACAGTATTTCAGCAAAACCTCCCATATATTCAGTTTTTGCTGGCTTCTCGTGCGTTGCACTATGATGTTGACTGGATGTATGATTTGCAAGACTAGCAGCTGTCCCTCTGTTTGCTTCCAGTAGCACCCAACCAGTACTGTCTTGAAATGGCACATCTGTCCAAATACTCTTCTATTTTGTATGAAGTCTTTGCTTTCCGAATATGAAATGAGTTCTCTCTACTCTGTCAGCCAAAGGTTTGCTTCACTGAGCTCTGAGATAATAGTAGACCCAACAGCATGCTACTATTACATATAGCAGGAAACTGCATTAAGTAATGTTAAATATTAGGAAGAAAGTAATACTGTGATTTTTAAAAACAAACTATATTATTAATCAGAAGACAGCTTGCTCTTGCTAAAAGGAGTTACCATTGACTTTAATTTGAACTTTTTAGTTGTTGTTCTTGATAAAGAGTAACAGCTTCAAGTACAGCTTAGAAAGTGGGTTCTGGTTTGCTGTCCAGACACATCTAACAACTTAGAAAGGACTCAATTTCACTTTCTTTCTTGGGGGAGAGGCATGATCCAGAAGCTCATCTGTTGACCAGCCAACCACAGCTGCTAAAGGTGTAATTCTTTCTGACATATTTTTTAACTGACTGGTTGAACCCTCTTCTCAGCTCCAGAAGAGGTATATCGTGTCATGAAGCCTCAGCCCCAAGAGTACACTCAGCTATCTGTCCAAACCACTTGTACAGTGCAAGGTGCCTGTGGTACATAGCAGTGACTTGGCCATTGTAGGAAAATATTCCACCTGTAGAGTGTTTAGGAGTGAATGTATAGAAGTCACAAGGGGAAAGCAGCTGTGTGACCCAGTTTACATCTTAAAATTTGGTTGGCCACTCCTTTCTCCCCATTATGTTTCTCTTATGTTCAACATTGCCTTGATTAAGTCATAATTATGCATGGATATCTTTTGCCAGGAATGGCCAATGTGCATGTGATTTGTGATTAGCAAGAACTTTCCACAGTGATGCCTCACTAGGGAATGTCAATAGTGTTGGAAAGATTGCACCTTTTCTTGCAGAAGTGACCCCCACTTGTGGACTGATCTCTCTCCATAGATAGTCTCTGTCTTCCATTTTTAGAATTTTTTCCCATACTGTCTCAAAAGCAGGGCTAGGATTGGTTTCAACTCTGTATGTTCCCTTATGATATAAGCCAATGAATGCTTATAGATATCAACATATGAGCAGGAAAAAAAGAAAAGTTGTGTGTGTGGGGAGGGTAATAACCCCTCAAAAACTTTTATATTCCCTTCCTGTTATCTGTCAATCAGGACTGGAACTTAGAGTTTATAAGTAAGCTCCTAGGAGTCACATATGGGAAAATGGGAAATAGTTGAAGAAGGAATTGACAAAGTCAATGACAATTATTGATTCTTGTTTTCAGTTTAATCGAATCTATTTTCTTTACTAAATCTTTGTTACAAGTCAAGGGAAGTAATAACACACGAGTAGGTCTTAGGGGAACAGTTCAGGCTGACCACAAGTCCATGTGTTACACTCCTCCATGTTTCTAAGAGAGGCTTGTCTGTTACTCTTACTATTTGATGTCTCACATTTTTTGCCATTGTTCACGGGACAGTTTGTCTGTGTTCAAGCATGTTGTCCTCCTTTGCTTCTTAGCCCATCCAGAGGAATGCCTGCTGGTAAAAGCCTGCACTGGCTCCCCAGTGGCTGCAGATGGTCAATTCTCCACAGGGAGGAAGAGTCAGCAAGCCTGAAGATAATCCTTTTCCTTAACATTGACTTTGAAGGCTTTGACTCACCTATTGTTCAATAAAGAAATGTCTTTATTGTTACACTAAAACTCTTAAACATTCAGTTCCCAATTAGTTTGTCACTGGGGTATTGAGAAAATCCCTTCTAAGAAAAACAAAAACAAATAAACAAAACAAACAAACAAAAAATGGACTCTCCTGATTAAAAAAAAAAAAATGAGCAGCATTTTACTATCTATCATGGGAAGCTCTACAAATTTGCAAATTGTAAATATATGTGATCTTTTTTCTTCTGTGCTTTATCTGTCAATCCGCACTTGTCTTATTAGCTGAGAAAGCCTTTTCCCCAAGAGAACAAAGCTTCTGTGGTGAGAACAGCCACTTGGCTGCTGTGGGCTACCTGCCCCAGTGTCTAGATTGATGTTTCTAGGGACGTCTCCACAATGCTTCACTGCCAAGTCTCTCTCAACTAGATGTTCATGCATCCAGGCAGATCTGTAGCAATGCAAAGGAATGCACACCTGTGTCCTGGCATGTGTGAAGATGCCTTGCATTTTAAGGGAGCTTGACAACTACTCTGTTTCTTGGGTCTGAAATCAAAACTATTGAGAGTTATATAGCTAGGTATAGTAGACACCAAATTCCTTTTATACTTACTCAAGATTGGTTTTCTGTCCTACTTTTTGCTCCCTTTTTCTCCCTACCCTCAAGAGTGCCTGGTGGACAGCCTTCTGTTTTCTACAAAATGGTCCTCTGTGTAAGAGAGAATGTATCTCAAGCAGCAATATGCCATCTCTTTCTTGTTTCTGTGTGACTGGCAATGTAGGTAGAGTCTATCCAGGGTAACTTTCTCTGTATCTATTCTCCTTTTGGCCTGAGGTTGAAGCTATATGGCTCCTATCAGTGAATATGGAAGATCTGACCTTTTAGTGCTGGCTGCATTCCAGCAGCTACAGGGATTCTATTCACTAAGATCCATGACACACTATGGAGAAAATGCAGATAAAATGAAATGGCCACAAATCACAATTTCTATTATATATTCTTTTGTAAATACATATTGTATAGTACTTGGATGTTTTCTTAAGTCACTTACTGTCTTTATGAGTTAATGTTAGGTTTTACTCTCATACTGTGTAACATTGTAAATATCATAATGTTCTTTATTATTTATATTTAAGCATCTAACATAGAGAATTGTTTTCATATAAGTTTAAGATAAATGTTTAAAATATATGTTTTTTTTCTTTGCTTTAAAATTATGTACCTTTCCTTTTTTCATCTTCTTAAAGAATAATTTATTGTTCAGGAGAAAGAATATATATGTAATTGAAACTATTTGAAGAATGCACATTTGAAGGCCACGAGGTACTGATAAACTAAAGAATTTATTATCTCAAATACTAAGCAATAAGTAATTGTTGTTTATTTAAAGTTTTGTTCATTTCCCAAGAAAGTTATGCTGCAATAAAAAGGCTACTCTGTAGAGACATGAGTGTGTTGCTCAGCAGACTATCACTGTAGTCTGCTAGAGCAGTACTTTTCATCTAGTCATGACAGCTGTGCTATCTACCTAGGACTGTGCTTCATGGACCCAGTGATCATCTTGTCTGTGTTGATTTTGCTGCATTGCCCATCCTTGAGTCACCTCCCTCCTAACTCTGTTTAACACTTCATTGCTTGCTGTAGGAGACACACATTCAAGCAATAGAATGCTCCATTCCATAGCCTCCAAACCTCATTCACAAAGACATCAGAGGGAAGGAAACATTTCATAACTTTCTGGATCCTGCTTGTTGATATGTTCTGCAATGACATCAAGAAACTTATTTTGATTAATGGCAATGACTTACATGCCAATCCTATGCAAACATGGTTCAATAGTTCAATGGCCACAGTAGCCTCCAAAACAGCCATGCTAAACTTCCCTATAATGTCTTTAAATTTACTTCCCATCATGTACACCATTTTATAAGAAGGCTAAGGAGCAATGATTTTATTTTTCTCCTCATTCTTTCAATAAAACAAATTGATGCCCAAAGTACTGCTCAGGGAGGGTCTATGCACGAAATACTCCTCACATTCTAAGACTCATCATAGAATGGATATAGTGCTTTTTTTATTAAGATTAACCTTATGAAGCCATATTTTAACAAATAGATATTTTGTGTGTAATTTTTATATATTTCAACCATTCTACTTGTTATTTCAGATAGATGGAGGGCATTTAAAGGATCTGTGATAAGTCAGCCTGCTTTGGAGTTAGAACATAACCTGAGATTTGCCATCAAAGTTTACCTCCATGTGTAGACACAATTCCCGTTAACTCATAATAGCACCACTAACATCATTCCAAAGCAGTCTAGATGTCCATGAAACTTAATGTTCTGAAGCCACAAAGTGAATACACTGTCCACTAGTCATTCATCTGACAAGCCAAGCATATATCAGAAGATGAAAGAATATTTCAAAGTTAGAGTCTGGGACCTTTTCCTCAGTTTATTCTGCAAATTTGCCAACCCTATGCTCAAACTGAAAACTGTAAATGAAAGTATCAGTAACTTAAGATAGATGGGTTTAACTAAGTGGTCATGTCGTTTCAGGCACAAGAGTATGTGAAGGCAGGTAATATAGAAAAATGAAAACTTAATTTTACTCAAATTAGAGTCTAGATAATTACTATTATTCTCCAGTTGTGTTTGACTCTTGAGTGACAAATCTAGGCCAGTTCTGCGAACTAGAAAGACATCTGTTTTTCTAGGCAGTCTAAAAAATAATGTCTCTTCTCTGTCCCAATGACAAATTATCAAAGGGCTTAATGTCAAGCATCATGTTTCTCTCTCTCTCTCTCTCTCTCTCTCTCTCTCTCTCTCTCTCTCTCTCTCTCTCTCTCTCTCTCTCTGTCTATCTGTCTGTCTCTGGATTCTCCTCTCAAAATCAATAAATTAAAAAATAGTTTATGGAAACTATTACTCCAAAACCTAATTCAGTAGCAGTGGAGAGCTTCATATTTATAAAGGGAAAACCTTTCTGTTGGTTTAGGAAGCTGAATATTGTACCCTAGAAGGTAGTGTTAGGTAGGGCAGTACATGTTCTAATACATATCTGTAGATCTTAATGACACCTTCATTCTGCAACTCTTACGCCTCTCTCTTGGTTAGCTAGTGGATTTCAGCTGCTTGAACTTAAAAGCATAACTTACCACAGGAAAAGGGTTTTTTATTATAAAAATATTATGATCAATGTCTTTTTGTAATAAAAATGAGAGACAGAGAATGGAGTGATGGTTCAATCAAAGGACCTTTTTCTAAATGTCCTCTTTCAAATGGACTTTCTCAAACAGAAATTTATGGTGGAAAAGATATCTCTTCTCACCAAACTATGTTCCAACAAAGTTGAAGAACTGAATATATGTAATGTCTTATGTATAAATTTACTCATAAATAATTAAATTATTAAATATTAATATTTTACACTGTTTATAACTTAAAATATCCTGTATCTTTTTTATTTGTTCATGCTAGAGAAAAAATGATGAATATTTAAGTTCTGGAAAGTTAAAGCTCATTCTCAGAGCAATCTTTCTACTGAGTTGTAGAGATGCTGTAGATACCTAACTTCTCTTAGTTCCTTCCTTGGCATTTGCCTAAGCAAAATGAGCATTTTCAATTCCAGATCTCTTAACATAATACAAGTTATATATAAATCAGCTTTTATTTTGGAGGAATGATT